GTGGGTGGGACATGCAGACGACAGCCTTGCAGTGTGCGTCAGGCCGGAGGACAGAGACCCACAGACTGCCCGAGCCAGGCCTCTGCAATACACAGCCCCTGGGATGCTCGTGCGCTGCTGGAGGGGACGTAGACTGATGCAGCCACGTGAAACACTGCCTGGCCCCGTCTGCTGAAATGGAACTTGCAAGTTCCCTGTGGCCCAGACAGTCCTCTCTTAGGCGTATGCCCAAGAGGAATGAAAGCCTGCTCAGCAGAAGACGTGTCTGGAGCCATCTGAGCACCACGGTCCATGAGGTCGGGTGCCCCTCGGCGCACGTGGCGGGGCTGGGGGGTTGGTGTCGTACCATGGAATACAGCACAGCAACAAGCGAGAGCAAGCTGCTGCTCCAGACAGCCGCGCGGTGACTTTCGCGGACTCTGCTAGTGAATAAGGCTGAACCTGAGTGTGTGATCCCACAAATGCGAGGTCCCAAAGTGGATGTCTGGCATGCGTAAGTCAGCCGTATGCACTTCCTGTAGGGTTAGAAAACCTTTCAAAAGTAGTTTGGACACATCAGAGCTTCGCTATGTTCTAACACAAAATAATTGGCAGCTTATAAGTTAATAAACTTATTATCAGAAAAACAAAGTGGGGTTCCTGTTTGGACCTGTTTCTGAAATGCACCTGAAGTGCAGTGTTTGGAAATTACAGTCAGAAGCCGAAAATGCGATGGTCGTGAGGGAAGACTCGTGTGCCCTTCTGGAGAAACCTCCTCGCGTAGCCATCCGCAGATCCGTCTGCATCGCCAGCGGCTCCCCGGAGGCTTTGAGGTGATCATGAAATGGTTCGGGAGTATTCGCTTGTCCGGCGGGTCCGACCCTCCTGAGGGGCTGCAGGCGGGGGGTGGGGGTCAAGGACAGGTGGCGGCTGCCGAGCAGGCTTCCTACAGATGCATTTCTGCAACACTGGAGTCAGGTGTCACCGGGCTCCTTGCTCTGCAGAGTGTGGTGCGGCATCGGAACCTGCTTCCTGGTCATAAGCTTCCTGTGTGCCCCGGAGCGCTGGGTCTCAGGCAGGGCTTCCGGTTCAGACAGAGTGGCTGCGAGCGTCTGCTTTGGTTGGACGGGATTTGTGCTTTTCTATCATTTCAAAGACGCTGTCGCCGTTGACCTTCTCAGGCTCTCTCAGCGTTCATGAGAAGAAAACCGTGTGCTGTGGCAAGTTTTCCGAACACACACAGACTGTAAGTCACAGGTTCTGGAAGTGTTAGGTTCTTTCCAAGAAGAAGTTGTTTTGGTCACGACAGCCAATGAAAATTCCCTTAGTGCTCACGGTGCTCACGGAATGGTGTCCCCCACGCCAGAGCTGCATCCGTGTCCTAATCCCCGGAACCTGTGGATGTGACCCTATGTGGATAGAAGGATCTGTGCAGATATAACTACATCTTGGAATATCCAAGTTGGACCTAAATCCAATGACAAGTGTCCTTATAAGAGACAGAAGAGGAGAGACCCAGACACGGAGAAGCCACACGAAGGAGGCGGAGATGGGAAGATGTGGCCACAAGTCCAGCACAGCTGGACCCTCAGGAGCTGGAAGGGGCAGGAAGGACCCTCCCTGGAGCCTCCAGGGGGGCACAGCCCTGCGACACCTGGGTCCCAGACTCTGGCTCCCCAGCTGCAGACGGGTAGCTCTGTGGTGCCTTCGACTGTCCCACTCCTGGTGTTCCAGTGGAGGCAGGAAACTAACATAATAAGAAAAAGCCAACATTGTTATCTTTGCTTCAGAAAGTGTGCATTTTTAGTGTCTGGAGCCCCGCGCGGGCTCTCTTCCCAGCCAGGGAGGGTCCCTAACAAACAGCCACACTCACGCCTGTGCATTCTCTGTTGTTTTTCTAGGGAAAAAATGCAGCACTTCTGCACAGAAATCAATTCTTTTTCACGTGTAAGTCCAAGTTGCTAAGTACAGAGGCTAGAATACATAATTCGGCATTTTAACTTGCACGTTTATGGAGGCAGAGTAGAGGCCATGAACAAATATTCTCAAAAAAAGGTTGCTTTAAATAAAATAAGGTAAGAGTTCACTTCCTCTTCTCCCCTCCATCCCAGAGTGGGGGGTGCCTTTGCTTTATTTGGTGTAAGATGAAAAGTGGGATCAGGGTGCCTGAGAGAACCCCTAGGGAGGACCGAAACTGCAGAGCCGAGGGGGCGGGTCCCCGCAGGCCTGGTCTGCAGGCCGGCCCGGCTGCATCGGGTGTGCGGGCCGCGCGGCTTCCCTGACTCGGTCCCGCTGTGGGGGTGCTGGAGCCCTGCTCCGGGGCCTGCAGCCTGAGCTCCCCCTGGCTCGAGGCCCTCCCTTAGGAAGGGCAGCTCCCCTCTGGCTGCGCGGAAACCCCAGAAACTCCTGCAGCTCTCTCCTCCAGCCCAGAGGCCAGGCTTGCAGAGCGTGTACGGTGACAGCGGGGACCGATGTCCGTCACACCTGCGAGGCTTCGGGGTGCACCTCGGCCGAGGGCAGCAGACAAGACGGCCCGTGCCTCTTCTCAGGCTGTGCGTGCAGGAGGCGAGGAGAGGTGCACCCGTCGGGGGGCTCATGGACTCGTGCGCGGGGGCCGAGCGGCGGGTGTGGCGTGGACGTCCCGCAGGAAGGTCTCTGCTGGGTCAGTGAGGGCCCCAGACCCGTGCGGGCCATCGCTGAAATGGCGGCGTGGACAGCCGCCCACCGCATGTTAGCAGAATTGTGGCCTGCGTGACTGTATGTCACCGTTCCAGTCTGCGATCTAGAACCTGTTTGTGTGTAGAAAGGAGACTCGAGGTCAGACGCTGAGCTGTTAGCTGAGGTGGTCCTCGTGGCCGGGACGCGGGACGCACGCGGGCTGCCACCTGCCTTCTGTGCTCCCTGCGGCCTTCTGGTTTTGCTGTCTTCCTCACGGCACAGCTGCAGCATCCCTCCCGCCCCCAGCTCCCGCCACACACACGCACACGCGCCCCGGTGCCAGCAAACGCATGGTCAGAGCTTCTGATTGTGAGCAAATGCTGTACTGCCTTGGCCAGGACAGATTTCTGAGAGAGGTGTTGGGGGGATGCAGCGTCCCTCTTATGGGCACGGAGACCACGAGGCGAGCGGGCAGCCAGGCTCCAGGCAGTGGTGTCGGTTGTGAGCTGTGATCAAGTCCACACAGCCTAGTGTTGGGGCCGTGGTGGCCTGAGGATGCCTAGAGGTCATCCTGGAAGGGTGTCCTGTGAGGACCAACTCTCACACCGGGGCCTGGAGCTCTAGGCACATAGTAGGAGGACGGGCTCGCACCACCGCCCGTGGAAATAAAAGAAATCCGAGATGCTTGCATATTTAGATACCCTTTAAGGGTTCATGCAAGAAATACTTTAAATAAAAAAGTTGGAGACTGCTCTGGGGTGTCCAGCTGGCTCAGTCGTGCAGTGTGCAACTCTTGATCTCAGGGTTGTGAGTTCGAGCCCCACGTTGAGCGTAGAGCAGAGAGAGCAACACAGCATTTCCACACACTGAAGCAGGAGTGTGTTAGGGGCAGAGGTGCAGCGGTGAGGGCCCGCTCGGCACAGGGAGCCCGGGAGCCAGTGTGCTTCCTGCCCCTCTGCACCCCTGTTGCTGTCGTTTCGGTGTGGACAGGCCATGGCTGGGGCGTGAACAGCAGAATGGGTCTCGGGGCCATGGGCGTGGCTCACGGAGATGGCAGTGAGGGCCTCTGCTACTGGGTGGCATGGTGGGCAGCCCACGGTTGTGGGGACAGGTGGTCACCCTTCCAGTAGACTGGCTGCTCCCTCCTGCAAGACGGACCCAGGCTCCGAGTCACCTCAGCTTTGCTGGGTCCCGCTGTCTTGCCACTCTGGGGCATTTGTTTTCTTATCTGCTGCCTGGGCACCTCCAGGGGCAGTGGTGACTGTGGCCAGAGCCTGCCACACTTGGACATTTGGTAGGGTTCGGAGGACCCAGTGGACGACCACCGAGCTGACGGTGTCCGCACCTCTCCTGGGGTTCATTTCAGCAGCCTGCCTTTGGCCGTGGCCAGTGTTCGTGACTGTGGGGACCTTTGGCCTGTGTTTGGGGTGCTGGTGCCATGTGCAGCCGGCCAGGTACCGTCCGGGCTGTAGAGCGTGAGGGCCTTGGGAAAATGCATCTGGACAGGTGTCCACCACCGGGCTCCTTGTGTGGCAGGAAGTGAGATCCCAGGCCCTGGCCGCTCCCAGCGATCCTGGTGAAGTCTGGGACGACTGCATCCAGGCCTCGAGGTTAATGGAGTTATGGGTGGAGGCTCTGCGTGTTCCAGAGGGGCTAACTGTGGTGTCTGGGGTGCCCATCGCAGAGGGCACCACTCAGGATAAGCTGCCCCGTGCTTGGTGGGGTGCTGCACAGTGGGTCTGATGCATGGGACCCCAACCCCCGTGATCTCCACTAGGAGACTCCCTGGCGTGTGGGGCAAGGTGCCTCTGAGGGTGTGGCCGCATCCTGGTGTGGGATGCGGCTGCTGCCGTGCGCTTGAGCAGGTCACAGGATGACCCCTCTGGGGCCCGTGGCGTCGCTCCCTGAAATGCAGGCAGAACCGGCGGGAGGAGTCACGCCCGGGACAGAGGCCACTCGGCGGTCCTGCTGCACATTGGGGGCTGGCCCGAGCCTCTCCCTCGGCTGTGCCCCCAGCTGCTTAGACGGCACCTTCCCTCCGGACACTAAAAGTTCCACCGGCCTGCGGGTGCCTGGAGGGGCAAGCTCTGCCCGGTGGCTCCTGGCCCCCAGCTGCCCGTGGGCTTGAGCGGAGCTACAGGCTGGGCCCGGACTCCGGCTTCACGTGTCGTCACACTGTCGTTTTCCGTTCTGACGGTGTGTGCGGCGCTCACGGGGTCTCAGACACTCATGGCCCCGTGGCCGGCGGCGCTGGAAGCAGCGGCCTCCCACCTTCGGTGGGACGCGCGGGCCTCATGGGGCCGTCCGGGCGGGATTGGCGGGGACGGGCGGCTCACTGACTTCGCGGGTCTGCTGTCTTCCAGTGAACGAGTTCACGGTGATCAGAAAGAAGTTCAAGTGCCCCTACTGCAGCTTCTCGGCCATGCATCAGTGCATCCTCAAGCGCCACATGCGCTCCCACACCGGGGAGCGGCCCTACCCCTGCGAGATCTGCGGCAAGAAGTTCACGCGGCGCGAGCACATGAAGCGGCACACGCTGGTGAGTGGGGGTGGGGGGTCAGCATGGGGTCAGCGTGGGTCGGCACGGGGTCGCATGGGTCATCACAGGGTCGGCATAGGGTCAGCATGGTCGTCACAGGGTCGGCACGGGTCAGCATGGGGTCAGCGTGGGTCATCAGGGGTCAGCATGGGGGTCAGCGTGGGTCATCACGGGGTCAGCATGGGGCAGTGTGGGGCATCACAGGGTCAGCACGGGGTCAGCATGGGGCCAGCATGGGTTGTCACAGGGTCAGCATGGGGTGGACCTGGGGTCAGCATGGGGTCAGCATGGGTTGTCACAGGGTCGGCATGGGTCATCACGGGGTCAGCATGGTTGTCACGGGGTCAACATGGGGTCAGCATGGATTGTCATTGGTCAGCGTGGGATTAGTGTGGGTCATCATGGGTCAGCATGGGTTGTCACGGGGTCGGCATGGGTCAGCATGGGTCATCACAGTGTCATCATGGAGTCAGCATGGGGTTGTCACAGGGTCAGCATGGGGCTGGCATGATGGTCAGTGGAGGTAGTTAGCATGGGGTCCTCATGGGGTCAGCTGGGCCCACTCTGTGCTGGGCTGAGAGGTCCAGGAAGCTGGGATGATGATGTGGGGTGCCCAGAAGGTCATGGGAAGCCCTAAAGCAGGTTCTGCTCTGCAGGGGGAAGGCCAGTTGAGTAGGTGGAGCCATGTTGACCCCCACCCTTCCTGAGAAGCTCCACCCCATGAGACTTGGGGCAGAAAGCAGGTGGGCCATAGCACCCCCAGCCCCAGAGCTCGGCCTGGCTTTGGCAAGCTCCAACCAGGCTTTGGCAAGTGCTTCCTCCCCTGCCAGGACCCCTGCCCTGGGCCCCTCGTGTCCCACCATGTCACTTCCTCCAGTGCCCCGGCTCCAAGTCATGGTGGGACCCCCCGGCTCCCCCATGGCCTTGTAAGTGTTGGGTTACCTGGCAGTGGTGGCACCCAGCCGGCAGGTGCTGAATGGATGCATTTGCTCGGTCAAGGAGTGATAGAAGGTCGTCCTTGAAACACAGAGGCAGATTTGCCAAAACGCGCAGGGCAAGGGAGCCTTGGGCAGGTGAGATGAACCATGGGGGCGAGGGCTGGACCACAAGGTTGTGCACAGTGTCATCTTTTTTTTTTTTTTTTTAAGATTTTTTTTTTTTAAAGATTTTATTTATTTATTTGACAGACAGAGATTACAAGTAGGCAGAGAGGCAGGCAGAGAGAGGAGAAAGCAGACTCCCCGCCGAGCAGAGAGCCCGATGTGGGGCTCGATCCCAGGACCCTGGGACCATGACCTGAGCCGAAGGCAGAGGCTTTAACCCACTGAGCCAACCAGGCGCCCCAACAGTGTCATCTTCTTGAGACACACACTCAAGGCGGGGTTCAGGGCTGAGAGTGGGGCCAGCTGGAGTTTGCAGGGCTGACGCAGTGGAGGCGGCCCTGGGTGACAGATGCCCAGAGCCCTCAGCCTGTGCCACAGGGGCCAGGAGAGGGCATCAGGGTGATGTCATGAGTCTGGAAATCTGCATGGTGTCAGGAGTCGTCCTCAGGGCACAGACTTGGCTGACCCTGCAGCATGCTGAGAACCCCCAGGAGGAGTGGGAGGGTTGTGTTGGCCGTGGTGAGGGTGACCCAGGGGTGCCCTAGCGCAAGGGCAGCAGATGGCTGGGGGAGGGCCGGGTGACACCCTCAGGCCTGGCTGCTGGTGAGGGGAGCCGTGTGGACGAGTGGGGTCTTTGCCTGTGTGTGTCCATCTGGGGTGCGTGGGGGGCTCTGCCTCACTTTGGGGTCGCATCCAGATTTACTCTGCTTGGATCCCTCGTTGGCTTTCTGCATGGGGCAACCTTACTAGCCTGTTTTTTCATCTTTCCAGCCCAGTGGGGGCTCTTATTTGGGGATGAGGACAACTGGGAAGGCTCCCATGAAGTCAGGCAGCAAAGATGGAGGGGGGACAGCCCCAAGAGGTAGGGGGCCCAGCCCAGCTGACCGAGGGATGTCCCATGGCCTGGCCTGCAGGGTCCCCCCACCCCCGTCATGGGGTCCAGCAGCGGGGGAAGCGGTAGCCCTGACCTGGACGGCAGGTCTGTGAGGCAGTCACTGTGGCTGACTTGATGCTACTGACTGCAGAGCTGGCCTTTTGTCCATGTGGCCCCTCTGTGGAGCCCACCCTGAGAGCCACAGAGGCTCACGTTACCACGGAAACTTGGGGGGACACATGCGCCGATGCCCACGCTGTCCTACTCAGAGGTGAACGGTGGCTTGTTGGTCACACTCAGGTGCTGGAGGTTGTGGCTCCACAGGTTGTGACGGCTTTCCCTAGCAAAACCACGTTATTGCTGCAGGAGACAGTCCCGTCGGAGGCTCTGCGTGGTCATTGCCGTTTGCCTGGGATGGGGCAAGATTTCCATCCTGGGGTCCTGCTTGGGCTTCAGGGAGGAACATAAATCCCTGAAAATGTACTTAAAATGTGTACAGGTTTGCCTTTTTCTGAGAAGAGGCTCTGTGTCTTCCCCTTTCATTGTTGGGAGCCCCCGACCCCAAGAAGCTGCTGAGCGTCTGCCAGCAGGTGGCAGTAGGGGCACTCGGCGTCCCCTCTGGGCGGACACCGTCCCCGTGCAGTGGGAGGGACTGGGGCAGCCGCGCCAGGAGTCCTCTGGAGGGGGGGGGTGGGGTGAGGGTGGGGGGTGGGGGTAGGGGCTGGGGGTGGGGGGTGTTTCAGGAGCGGCCTCCCATTGAGGACGAGCCCTGGATTGCCACGGTGCCCGCAGCCTCCCTCTCTCCTCCACGTGCTTGTCAGGACAGGTGCCCGACCCTCTGGTGCCGGCCAAGGGGCTCCCCGCGACGCCTTTGTCGCTCTGGGCCGTCCTGGCACAGCCCCCGGCTCCCTGCATGGGAGCCCTGGGTCTTGAGGGGCGTCCGTGGACGCTGCCTCCCCCGGCGCAGCCTGGCCAGCTCTCAGAACAGCTTCTGGCGGGGGAGGGTCGAGGGGGCCCTGGCTGGAAAATAGAACAAACGGAAGAGACAAACGGGAGGGTCCCAGGGACCGCGTTGTTTGAGGCTCCGTTTCTAGATTCAGGACGTGTGGGGACCCAGCCAGTGGACGCTGGGCAGCCGCGAACCATGGAGCGATGGTCTCCGTGGGCGGGGACCGTTCACAGCTGCCCGTGGAGCCCCTGCGCTGGGCGACGAGGAGTCCTCCGGCCCGGACGGGGAAGGGGCCCCTTCTAAGGGCCCAGCCCCCAGGACAGGGACCCGTTGGTGAGGGTGTGTTCCGGGTGTGGAGGAAGACGCAGCTCAGCGAACCTTTCCCGCCCTGACACCACGCGCTGTGTTTTCATTTACTTGACTGCTCTGGACACCAGAGAACTCCGAAAAATCTGAGGAATTAAAATTGCAGCCTCCTGCTCCCTGCACCAACCACCCCCTCCCCCTTCCCCGCGCTGACCACCTCTCCCCCCTGACTGCCCATCCCCCGCACTGACTGCCCATCCCGCCCCCCGCGCTGACCACCCCCTCCCCCGCAGGTCCACAGCAAGGACAAGAAGTACGTGTGCAAGTTGTGCAGCCGCGTGTTCATGTCAGCCGCCAGCGTGGGCATCAAGCATGGCTCGCGGCGTCACGGCGTCTGTGCTGACTGCGCGGGCCGAGGCGTGGCCGGGCCCCTGGACGGCGGCGGCACTGAGGGCTCCCCCGAGCTGTTCCCTGGTGATGGGCCCTACCTGGAAGACCCAGACGACCCGCGGGGGGAGGGCGAGGAGGAGCTGTGTGAGGACGAGGACGAGGTGGGCCTGGCCCACGAGGACGCGCTGCTGGTGGCCGAGAAGGAGGACGAGGACTCACCGCGGGGACCCGGCAGCCCCCCGGGCGCGCCCGACAAGGACTTCTCCTGGATCTCCTAGGCCGCGGGGTGGGGGCCCTGCCACCCCTCCTGGGGGCGGGGCCGTGGCCATGCCACCCCTCCACCATGCGTGTGTGTGTGCACACGTGTGTGCGTGCGTGTGTGTGTGTGCGTGTGCACGCGTGTTTCCCTAGGGATCTGCTCTCGCCTGGGGCCAGACCACGCTGACCCCCCTTTGTTCTGCTCCTGCCCCCAGACACACACGGAAGCCCGCGGGCTCTGAGGCAGGCATGACCCCAGCGAGTCGGGGCTCCAGGACCGAACAGGATGTTGGGGGGCACAGGGTGGGTTTGAGCAGAGGGAGAGCACACGTTCCCTCATGTCTGAGGGGACGAAAGGAGGGTCCCCGGCAGGTACGTGTGGCTAGGGCATCAAGGGAGCCCATGTGGCCAGCTGGGCCTCAGGACGCACAATGGCCCGATGACCAGGTCACGGTCGGGGCAGGTCGGGGTCCTGAGCGTCGTCCCCGAGGCCACAGGTCCAAGGGACGTTAAGGAAGGTGTTGCATACATCCGATGTCCAGTGCTGGAGTCCCCCCCCCCCCCCCGCCCCCTGCTCTGCTCAACCTTTCTCAGCAGCCTGGTCACTGCCTACGGCCACCACCGCAGCCTTCTGCCGCAGTCGTGGCCATTCCTCTCGGAACCCAGGCCCAGTGTCCAGGAAGCCCCGGGGCCCTCCCGCCTCTGGGCTTTGGTGCTTCCCATCGAACAGCTGCAGAGGCCTCCCAGGTGCTATCTTCCCGTGGAGGCGGCCGGGTGGGGACCAACGTGCCACGCTCCTCTGGCGCAGGGCTCAGAGCTCCCCGCTGCCGGCCACTCAGGTCCCTTCGGGGCGCCCGGGCTCTCCGCTCCGCACTTCCTTGGGGAGCCCAGGGCGGCCTCGGCCCCTCGGCCCCGCCGTCTTGGCCAGGCCACTGCCGCTCACGCCCCCGGGTGCCCTTGCCTTGTTGCTGCTAACAGTGGGGGTGGGGACCTGACTGCCACGTGCTGCTCACACCTCCCCGCGTGGGTAACCAAACTCTGTAAGTCGTCGGAGACGTATTTGAGGTAGTTACATGCAATTATGTTGTTGGCATTATTTTTCTGACGTGACGAAGCCTGGCGTTGTCTTACCTTCCGCTTGTCGGTCCGTCCGTTGTCTCTGGAGACGAGCTCACCGCCTCTTCATCACTCCGGTGTTTTCTGAGTGAAAAGCAAGGGCCCCGCTGGGAGGACCGTCCCCTGGGCCGCAGGACCCGCCCTGGTCTGTCCCCTTCCCGCCCGTCCACCGGGAACCGAACTCCTCTACTCAGACATTCCGTCCTGTGCCCGCCTGGCCCTGCTAAAGACCGTGTTCTTGTTCTCTTTGTCCACGGGCCGTCGGCTGCTATGCAGCTGGCCGCCAAGTCACGCCTATTCTTTTTAGGTGGAAACAGGAGAATCCCATGAGTCCCTAACTTGGGTTCCGGTGGTGGCCTGGAGTGCTCGCCCAGGGCGGCTGCTGGGGAGCCGGGCACCCCCAGATAGAGGGCGCGGACGGGGCCGCCGGCACTCCTGTCCTCAGTGGGGACGTGGGGACGAAGCCCGCCCTTCCTGACACGGAAGTGGCGAGGCCAGTGCAGGGCTCTGGGACACACTTCCCTTGCTGCCTTTCACCAGTGAGGCCCTGGGCTGCACCCCTCACGGGGCCCTCAGAACTGTGTACCTCCCCGACTTTCTGACCCCTTTTCTAAACAGACCTCCTTTCTTACAAATGTATTTGGAAACCAGACCTTTGCTACCAACAGTGTCTCTGGGTTTTGTACTGGTCCCACCGCTCAGGCCATCCCGCCCACACCCTGGGCCACCTCTGCCTCGCACTCAGGACATCTCGCTCTCTCTGACCCGCCGCTCCCTGCTCCGGACCACCCTTGCTGACGTTTTCAGGGGGTCGCTGTCAGTGCCACAGGGGCATTTTCTTCCTTAAAACCAACACTGTACTGGAAAACTGAGGGCCCCACCCCTGCCCACCTAGTCCGCCGGGCATGCGCCGGGCGGCTGGCCGCAGTTCGTGGAGGTGAACGCGCCCCGCTCAGGAGGCGTGGAGGGAAAAGACATGTGATGAAGGGTTTTTTTACGTGACTGGTCTTTTTTTTTAAATCAATGTTTAAACCTAATAAATATTTTTTTATGAAGAGGAAAAAAATTGTGTAGATTACATTTCACGTTTTGTACTTTTTTTGTTCGTGTCTGTCTGTATTTTGGTGTTTGCAACACCAAAGTGGAAAATGCAGTGCGTTGAGTGGTGAGTTCTTTGGGGTGGGGGGGGGCAGGGAACCCATAGGACTTTTGTATCAAGCTCTGGATCCTGACCAGGTTGTATGTTTGGACTCTGGGTTTTGGGAAACAGTCGTAACACTGCCAGGACTGAATAGGGACCTCGACTCGAGACACAGCTACTCCTTCCGACTTTGCACATCTTCCTTTTTAAAAAAGAAACTCTGAGAAAATGCAAAAACTGGAACTTTTTGCAATATGATGAAAGATGATCTTATTTTCGCTCATTCTGTGACGTGTGCGACGCTTAAGAAAGCCATACTTACTGGTTGGTCTTATTTTCTGGGTTCTATACTGTGTTTTGTGTGTGTCCCTTCCAGAACTCCTTGTAGTGAGGGCGCTGTGTGTGCGCTTTTCCTAAATATTTATTTTTCCAACATGCTCTCAACCTGTCAACAAAAGCAAAACAGACAAGGGCAGTGTTTGAAAATTGTTGTTCTTCCCCCCTTGGGGACAATCTATATTATACCCACTTTATAGTGATTACCCTACGCCTGTGTTTGTACTGGAGATGTGTTTACTGTTTGAGAGAAGAGACGTCTGTGATCGGTCGGCAGAAAATCGCAGCCGCTGCAGTCCACAGCCGCAGGGTAGGGCACAGCCCCTTCCCGTCTGCAGCGGCCGCTCTGGGCCTGCCCAGGGCCCTCCTTCCTGTGACGGGTTAGTTTCGACCTTCTTGCAAAGCTTCCACTTCCAATAAACTGGGAAACTGCGGCTCCAGCGGACGCTTCCTGAGTCTTTCACGGCGCCCCCTCCTCCTGTGTCAGGGCCTCCTGGGTCTGCCCCCCCCCCCCCCCCGCCCTTGGCAGGGTCTCGGGCCCCCCCCCCCCCAACAGGACGCAGACACGGCTTCTGGAAAAACCCAAATCTTTAATTTTTCTCCTTGCCTGGCGCGGCCCAGACTCGAGACACCTGAGCTTCGCAAACACGACACAAACGTCACCCCCTGGAACCACTGGGTTAAGTGTGGGCAGGGGAGGCCCCCACGACACCCCTCAAAGTGCATCACAGACCGGCCCCCACAAGTCCATGGGCTGACAGGGCGGGTGGCCCTCCGCAGGGACCCCTCCAAGTGCATCAGAGGCCGGCCCCCACGTGGCCCCGACAAGTCCGTGGGCTGGCAGGCAGGGCAGGCGGCACCCCCCACCCAGGGACCCCGGGCCAAGGGGCCAGCCACTGAGGGTTAGTGCAAAAGGCTGGTTTCTTCAGAGGCACTTTGAGTGGTGGGACCTCCCCCAAGCCTCGGGGGTCCAGGGTCACCAACTTCCCCCACCATCAAGAAGCAGACCCTGTGGCGGGAAGAGCCCAGGGCTGGGGGCGGTGGCAGCTGCTTTCCTCCCCGGCGGAGTCCCGTGGGCGGGCCGCAGCGCCAGCGGGCGCTCAGTCCAGGAAGCGCTGGCACGCCTTCTTCCAGCGGCAGGCCGTGCACCACAAGTCCCGCCGCTCCAGGCCGTATACTTTCCGGCACTTCTTGGCGTCACCACGCGGCTTCCTAGGGGGGACACAGAGGAGACACGGGCTGATGCCAGGCGCACTCCGCGCCCTCCCTCCCCCGCACACGTGCCCCGGCCCCTCCCCACTCACGCACCTCGGGTTGGCACCAAGCTTGGAGGGCAGGGTTGGCACACAGGTCCTGACAGGGGTGGGCTGTGGCTCCAGGCGGATGGGGGCCAGGCAGCCCTGAAAGGAGACGCAGCTGTGTCCTCTCCCCCATCCCAAGCACCCTGAGACTCACCAGGCGCGGCTGCCTGTGGCCTCACCCACCCGGTAGGTGTCGTCACCACGGCACACCTCAGGGGGTGCCCCAGAGCTCAGCACGGGGACCGGGGGCAGGGCCAGCGGGCGCAGCAGGCTGGACAGGGTCGGGGGCTCTGGCAGGTCCAGGCGGGGGAAGGCGGGTGGTGCGGAGGCCGTGGGGGATGTGGGGGACAGGCTGGACAGCCCGTCGGCCAGCACATCCATCTCTGTGTAGTAGAAGTCCTCCTCCCCGTCGCTGTGCTCCGGCTCCGCCTGCCGCCTGCTGGGGACACGGCGGGTGTGAGCTGCAGCCGTCGTCCTGCCTGGCTTGCCCCCCCCCCCCCGCTGGCCCCGCCGCACCCCAGGTGCACCAGGCGGATGTGTCTCTGCATCCCGGAGGCCGTGCTCAGCACCTTCCCACACCGCTTCCACAGACACTGGAACAGGACCTGCACTGAGCTCTGGGTGACAAGGGCTGGTGGTCAGGCCCGGCCGCCGCGCCCACCCCGCCCTGAGGGCCGCCTCAGGCTCACCTTCCTCTTCCTTGGCGCAGGCTCCCCAAACAGGAAACGGGCTGCCTCAGACGGCAGCGGCGGCGAGGGGATAGATGGAGAGGACGGGTCACTGGCCAGGTCCCAGCCCCAGTCTCCGCGGCTGCCACTGCTGCTGCAGCTGTGCCGGGGCCGCCCCAGGGCCTCCTTCCAGGGCTCCGGGCCAGGCTCTGTGGGGACACGCCAGCACCCGTGGTAGGACTTTTGGCTCGGGCTTCGCTGCGGGCGCTGCCCCCGCAGGCCCCTTCACTCTGAGCCTGGGAGCACAGTCCTTTGGAGGAGGCAGTGGCCGCAAGCAGCCAGCCCTCACCGCCTGCAGACTGGCCTTCCCGGCACAGGGACAGGTACACAGACATCCCACGTGGGGAGATGCCTGGCCAGCCGGATGGGAACGGACAGGTCACAGGCCCACAGGCCTGGGACATTGGCTCTGGCCTCAGTCAGAGGCACTGGGGGTCCTGATGTCTGTTTTGGGCCTCAAGGGATCTATGTAGATGGTGCTAGACCAGGCAAAGGGGTTCTGCTTGCCCCAGGGCACGGGCAACTCTAGGGGCCTGGAGAGACATGGGTCCTGCCCTCCCTACCCAGGTCGCCTGTCACAGTCTCACCTGGGGCCCCCAGCAGGAGGGGGCTGGTGGACAGACTTGTGAGGGCAGCTGCAGCCATGACCTCATCCAGTCGGGACTGTCCGGCGGGGGCCCTGGAAGAGGTGCGGGTGGTGTCAGGCTCCTCCCCTGGCCCAGCACACGTGCAGGCCTGGGCACTTGTGTGTGTGTGTGTGTGTGTGTGTGTGGGTCTGTGTGTGTGGTTCACCAGCTCCCTCCCTCCAGGCGCTGGGCTGGAGGCCCGTCTCCACCCCCAGCTCTGGTTACACAGCTCCCAATCTCCAGCAACCAGCAGAGACAGCGCCTGGGCTGGGGTCTCCGTGAAGCCTGACTTCTCTGCAGCCCAGGCTTTGTTTCATGGTGGGTCCTTCAGGCCCAGGAGCTGGACAGGGGTCTGAGGCCCCACCCCCTGACCCAGCGCGGGCCAGGCCAGGCCCAGCCTCCCCCCACACTAATCACGATTGTGCAACAGCAGCTGTGGGCCTGCGCCAGGCCTGGGAGGGAGGGAACAGCCAGCATCCACCAGGGGAGACTGGGCTCCAAGTGCAAGCCGGTCCCCAGGCCCCGACAGGCCAGGCCAGAGCCTGCCTCTACCTGAGAAGCTTTGGGTGTGGGGCACCCCCGCTTCTAGGCAGGGCTAAGAGATGGTAGTCAGAAGCCCTAGGACTCCTGGACCGTCAGCCTCACGTCAGCAAGCAGGCTCTAGTGCACAGGGACTGACAGGGGCCCCTCCCAGCTCTGAACTCTGGCCCCCAGAGCTTGGGGGGCACCAGGGGCACAATATATTGATAATTTCTGCTCCACTCCTTCAGCGCTGGAGAGTTGGGGAAGGGGGCAGAAACCCCAGGCCGGAGGCCCTGACCTACACTACCCGAAGCCCCCCACGACCCATGGGGTGGGGTTCAAGAAGGCACGTGCCTGCGCCCCACCCACCACCCCTGCGCACACCAGCGCACGTGTGCGCACGCCCACCTCGGCCTGGCGCGCCGGACCCTGGCTCACCTCTGCCCTGGCACCGGGATGTGCGCCGACGGCTTCGGGGGCCCCACCGCCGCCCCCGCCCACGTCCCCGGGGCCCCTAGGTCGGCGGCCCGCGGCTCCGGCTCCCGAGGCAGCACGAACTCCAAGCCCGCAAAGCCGCCGCCCACGGCAGGGCCCTGCGGAAGGGGCAGGCTCAGCGCAGGCAGCGGCGCGGGGGACGGGGGTTCCCAGCCCCCACCCCATCCGCTCCGCACCCGCCCCCCGAACCGGCTGCGGCCGGTGGGGACGGCGCGGCCCCGCCCCCGGCCCCGCCCCCGGCGCGGCGCGGCGGGAATCGCTCCCGGGGCCGCCCGGCCCCGCCCGGCCCCGCCAGGCCCGCGGACACGCGCGGACCGCCACGGCCGCCGCCGCCGCCCCGCCCCCGGGGGCCCGAAGTTTGTGCAGCCCCGACGCCATCTTTGCGGCGAGGGAGTTGGGTCGGCGCCCCGTCCCCCGGCGCCCGGTACCTGCGGCGCCGCGGGCACCGATACGGGCGCGGCCGCGGGGTCCCGGCCGGCGGCACGGGGCGGGGGGCGCCCGCAGCCCGGAACGGGCAGCGGAGGGCGCTCGGCCTCCATGGCCGGCCTGCCGGGCGCCGAGGCTGCAGCGGCGAGGGCGGACGCTCGGGACACGGCCCCCAGGCCGGGCCGGGCCGGGCTGGCGGGGCCGCCGACCCCCGCCCTCGATCGGCAGCCGCCCGCGCCGCGCGGCCCGGAGGCTGCCGGCCGGCCACGCCCACTTCGCGCGGCTCGCGCGCCCCGCCTCGCGGCCCCGCCCCCGGCGCACGCCCATTGGCCCGCGCGATGTATCAACATTCCGAGGTGGCCCGCCGCCACGGCCAGCGGCGCTCCCATTGGCTCGCGCCCCCAGGTCCTGCCCCGAGCCGGCCGCAGCCCCGCGGCCTGGAGAAAGGTCCGCGCTCTGCGCGCCGCGAGTCTGGTCGGCTCCTCGCCCCTAGGAGCCCGGGCTGCCCGTGCGCCCCCACCGCCGGGCAGGGCCGGCTTTCTTGGCGGGTTTTGCTGCGCGCAGAGCTGCCGGATCCCGGGAAGGGGCCGCGTCTCCTTGGCGGGCTTCCCGGGAGCAGGTTATTCTGTAACGCACGAATGCCCACCCACCCGCGTGCCTTATGTAACACCGGGGGCTGGGCGGCGGGGCCCTGCCCCGGTGTTCAGGGTCCAAGTCCCACCCTGGGGCGGTCAGCTCGCGGGCCGGCTGCAACATGCGCTAAGACCGACTTGGCCCGGGGACACCACCCCTAGAACTTGCCTCCCTTCGCCACGGTCTTCTGGAACTGACCGGCCGAGCACACGCTTCAGGCGACGGGGCCCAGACACCCCGGGCAGGAGGGCCCTTCCAGACAATCCCTGCCAACCTGCCCGGCCTTCGAGAAAAACAGGCTGTACGGATCTTCCCTAGGCTGGGGATTTATTAAGACCTTGGGAGAGTCCAAGAGGCCACGGCAGCCAGGACCCCCAGGGACCTCACAGGCTGGAAGATTTGAGATCTGGACTTTGTGCTGCCAACTTGGGGAGGGGGGCAGGGAATGGGGGATGGGCACTACTTTGGAAGGAGGAACTCTATGCTGGGTTGTTCAAGGCAGATGGGGAGTTGGAGACCCCTAGGTTGAGGATGGGGAAACCAGGAGCCTCCGCGTCCTGCAGAGGTGGGCCCCTGCTAACAGCCAGAGCTGGAGGGCTCAGGTGCTCCGTGGGAGGGTCCCCATCTCCTGGATACTCTCATACACATTTTCAAGGAGGCCATCATCCTTGCCCAGGCCCCTGAGTGGGAGGGTCTCATAGGACTGGTCACTTCCCAGAGGCGGAATTACTCCCCTCCCCTTAGGGTCCAGCTGGTCTGGGGCAGGTCCTGGGTCCCTCTTCTTAGGCTTCCTGACTCTGGAGTACAGGATGGCAACCTGGGAGAGAGGAAGCCAACCCAAGGAGGGGTCAGCAGCGTCTACTTCTTCAAGGACCTGCACAGCCCTACCCACCCTACCCCATCCCCTCCAGTTTACCTGGGCAGCTGGGGTCAGCTCCGCCTTCCCCTGCCCCAGGCTTTGGGTGCCTTCTTCTGTTTCCTTGAGCTTCTGGATACAAGCATACTCAGCCACCTCCAGTCTGGCCTCAGGCCCAGGCCTCACATAGCTGCTTGTCAGCTGTGCCCCTGCCCATACCACGGGGCTGGCTGCCAGGCTGGCCCTGGGGATTGCGGCCAGCCCCACATTGGAATAGGTGGCCTCGGGGCAGATGGAGGGTGAGGTGGCAGCCGGCATTGCCCGGGGCAGTTCCCAGTGTGAGAAGTCTGCCAGGGGTCTGCTGGTGCTTCTAGACACATCCAGCCACTGTGGGCGCAGGATATCCATGCTGGCAGGCCGTAGGCCTAGGGGTGGGGTCAAGACAGAGGTTACTGGGGCAGGGGGGCAGGGAACCAACTGGGGAACCCCAGAGCAGCTCCAGGGGCCAGCCCCGCCCATCACCCAGGCCAGGTTCCTCCTGGCTTGGCTCACCTCGGCAGCCTCTGGGGCCCCGGTGCAGCTCGTGCAGTCTGGTGTCCGACTTGCTGAGGGTGCAGAGGTGTTGTCTCAGCAGGGACTGGGGGCAAGGAAGGTTGGTCTTGGTCCTGTGGTGGCCCCGCCCCGGCCCCAGGGACAGCCTGACACTCACCGCTTCTGCTGGCATCACACCGCTCCGGGGGCTGGCCTGCTGCCTCTGCGCCGGCTTCCTGGAGGCAAGTGTCTCGTCAGGCCAGGGAGGCAGAGATGTCTTTGGTACCAGGCCCAGTAGGGAGGCTCATGCAGAGAGCCAGACCTGGTTGGAGCCCCGCCCCACACCAAACCCGGGCCAGGGATGGACATACCTGTGACAGGGGGCGCACAGTGTCCACAGCCAGAGGAATAGGACAACGCACCCAAGGACCCAGAGGGCAGGAGGGGCTGAGGGCACCTGTGGCCCCATCCTGCGAAGCCACAGGTAGCCCTGGGGGTGAGAAGACAGGGGTGCTGGGGCGGAGAGGCTGGGCACCTACCAGGCAGCCCCCAGCTGCCCCTCAAACTGCGGGGCCCGTCTCTGCCCCCTGGGGCACTGACTCAGCACACAGGAAACTGGGCTCCGCGGCCCCTCCCTCCTGCAGAAGCACAGAGCCAAGCCCTGGCAGCCACCTTCCGCCTCTGGAGGGGGGCTCCTAGTGACACGGATGGAGGTGTGCTCTGCTTGGCCCCAAGTAGCTGAGCGGGCAAGGCTGACCCAGACGGCAATCGCGCAAGGCCGGTGAGGAAGGACAGGGGAGTTGCCTGCTGTGGTCACCATAACCTAAACATGGGGCCTAGGAAGGCCCTGAGGTCACACTCCTGGTCCTCTGAGACAGACCAGTCTCAGGCAGCGCCCCCCGTCATCCACTGCAGAGCTGGGTCCCAAAGGGGCTGCAAAGGCAGGGAAAGGTTGCTCCAGCCCGACTCCCTCCGGTCCACTTGTCCCTGGCTCTCCACCGCTCCCCTCCAACTGTCCCTGCCATTGCACTGCGTTCTTCCTGGGATCTTAGCAGAGCTGCTGGGCTGGGGTGTCTCCAGACACAGTGCCCAGTCCGCCCAGACCCAGGGAGTGGGCTTACCTCAGAAGATGGTCTGGGCTGCCCAACCTGGTCCTCCCAGACCCCAGCCCTCAGCTGCCCCCAGAAGGGCACTATGGGGAGTGGGGACCCAACCAGGCTGCAGGCCAAAACGGGCCCTGAGGCCCCGCGCACAGCGGCTCCTTGTCAGCCGTGTCTGGTGGTGGCTGGCCTGGCCGCTTGGGCACCCCATGAGATGGCTGTGTGTGGCCCTTGCCAAGCTCCCCACCTCGCTTCCTGTGCACGTGTGTCTCCCTGCATCTCCCACGCAGCCACCCAGCGCTCTGCTGCCGTTGCTCCCGCTGCAGCCCCTGTGGGGTCTCGACACCACCTGGTGGGTGTATGCGGCTGGCCAACACCACTCCCAGAGCCCAAGTGACGTGGTCTCCAGCCCCAAGGAGATGGGCACACGCGGGCAAGGACACAGGCACAGCACGGGAACTGGGCACCCTCGGGGCCACCAAACCCCAAGGCTGAACCCAGGTTCTCAAGACTTCCGAACCCACACCACCAGGTCCTCCTGCCTCATTCACGTGCTTCCCGACCACTCATCACTGGCCACCACCTCCTCCCACTGCTGCAGCATCAAGTCCCATGCACCTGTGGGGGTCAGGCAACACGGGAGCACTCGAAGCTCTGACCCTTTTCAGGGCTGCTGGCAGAGCCCCATCCAAGACAGCGAAGAGAAGGCCAGCCCTTTGGGCCCTCCATCTCTGGGCAGGGGGCAGCAGCCTCACTCAGGGCCCCTCCAGCCTGGCCCCATGGCCCTGTGCAGAGATCCCTCTATGCCCCAAGAACCCACAAGCCAGCCGAGCCTCCACTGAAAGACACCAGAACACAATCACTTTAATGTCCTTGCTAAGGAAACCCCCTAAGACACTGGCAGGTGGGCTCAACGGGCAAGGAAGTGTCCAGAAGTGGCCCCTGCAGCCACATCTCCATTCAGCAGTGGCCAGCAAGAAGGCTGGGTGCGGGGGCCGGAGTGGGAGCAGGCCGGGCCCTCTTCCGGTGGTGTCTAGTTGTTGGGTGACAACGAGTCTTCCAGAGGGCAGCCAGGGGCTGGGGGCCCTGAGCTCTGTCCACTGCATGTACGGGGGCTCTAGAACTCAGTCATCTTCTTGTGGGTGTCTGCTTTCCTCTGCTCTTGCTGCAGGCCTGCCTCCTGGGCCCGGAGCTGCCCCAGCTCCCGCTGGGCTCCCGCCAGCCTCTCCTGCAGCTGGGCTGCCGTCACACTGTGCCTAGAGAGGAGCCTGCCATTCAGCATGGGCTGCTGGGCCACTGGCACGAAGCCCCCAACTGCTGTAGCCATCGCCCAACCCCCTGCAACCGTCCAGACCCTCCTCAGACAGCCGCCACCCTCCGGTCAGAGCAAGCTCCTGTGTGGGAACTGGGGGCCAGATGCCCACAGCAGGGCTGAAGGCACTACCAGCCTGGGGTCTGCCCTCTGCATGAGTCTGGCCCCACACATACCGGCCGGTGTTTCGGGCAAGGGCCTTCTGGATGCCCCGGATGTCCCGCTGGGTTTGCTCAATCTTCTTCTCAGTCTGGAAGAGCCGCAGGCTCAGGGCACGCTTGGCACTCTTGCCGGCGTGGTACATCTCCTTACTGCTCCTCCTCCCGGGGGGGACCGCCCCGGCCTCCAGGGCCCCAGGGGCCCGGCACTGCAGCGTCTCGTTCAGAAAGTCAAACACACTGCGAGGGGGAGGGCGTGCGTGCCCCCTCTCCTGGCATTTCGGGAGCCTCGGGGTGCCGGCCCTGCCACTCCTGGTCCTCTTCTGCAGGGTCTCTATGCACTGGTCCAGCGACTTCCCTCGAGGGAGCACCACGGCATGGATGGGCTCCACCCGGCCCTCCGCGTGTCGGCCCAGACCTGCGGGCACACAGGGCTAGCGCCACTGCTGGACCCGACTGGGGTTGTGGCATCCCCCTTCTCTCCCCAGGGCGGCGCACACTCACCCTTGCCAAACTCGTAGCCCATCTTGGCAAGAAGTCTGGAGCCAATGCCCCGTGTGTGCACCTCCCAGCCACCAAAAGCAGAGCTGCAGGTCCCGTGGTCAGCAGCGCTGGGTTCCACCACTGTAGGGAACAGGGCAGTGGCATGGCCCCTAGACACGGAGCACCCTGGGCTCCTGCCGGCGTTAGCCCAAGAGCTCAGCTCTGGCCCAGGGCTGAGATGCCTGGCACCTCGGGCTCTCCATCAATTGCCCAGACCTGTCGTTGGCACGAGACTGTAGGGCCGAATTCATGGCAGAGTCTGACTGAGTCTGGTCCAGCACTCCCCACAGCTCAGAGCCACAGCTCCCCCCTCCCACCCAAGGTCACACGGCAGCCCTTCCCCACGCGAGCCCTCCCGACCCACCTTCTCAGGCGCAGAGCTCCCCTGCTGCCCTGGTAGAAAGTCAGCAGCGACCTCATGGCTCCGTTCTCCCCGCCCCCCACCATGGACCCAAGGGTTCAGAAACTACCAGCCCACAGGACAGAGGCTGCAGGAAAACCTCCTCTCTATGCCCTACCTGACCCCTCGCAAGGGCCGGGTACCCAAGCTATTCCCAAAACTCTCCTGCCCCTGGCCGTCTGGACCTAGCCTCTCCTCTGTCCACCAGATACCGGGCCGTGTGGAGACCACTGGAAGGCGCCCACCGGCCTCTTTCTGCACACCGACTCTGGTGTCAGCCCTGCCTCGGCACAGGGCTTTGGCGTGTGGGCTGTGGAGTTGTAACCTGCTCATGTGCTCCCTGGAGACGAGGGCCCGGTCTCTGCGTCTGTGGCTCTCAGGGCCTGCCCCTGATGCTGCACACTCTGTCACTGCCCCGCCCCAGGCCCAAGTGCCCCCTCTGCAGAGCGCGGCCGGCCTCCCTGCAGTCACACTCCCCCACTGTCTGGCTGGACAGTCAGGGGCCCCGCCAACTGAAGCTCGCAGGGTGCTTCCTCCCCAGGATGGCTTCTGGGACCTTGCCCTGCCGCCATACCTCTGGCATAGCTGGAGTCATCCGCGTCGCCACTGTCAGAGTCAGAGGACCCTGTGGGATCCGTGCGCAGTGGGGGCAGGATGCTGTCTCCCTCCACCACGGCCTCCTTCAGCAGCAGGGAGTCAAACTTGACTGTGTAGTAGCCGTTATCCACATCTAGAGGCAGAAGACGGGCCAGGTCAGTGGCCTCAGTGGCGGCAGGAGCACACTGGGCATTGGGAGGAAGGTGGGACCAAGCTCCAGGGTGGTCTCGCCCCGCTGGGGCATGCAGCAGGGCTCTCCGGGAAGGGCCCTGTCTGATAGGGCCATGGCAGCCTCACCGGTTATCCGAGCTGGGTACCAGAGGCCGTCCTGCTGCTTGGCCAGACATGCAGAGCCGGCCTGTAGGGAGCTCAAGTCCGGGTCCTGGAAGGGGCGCAGCTCATCCACAGAGACCACCTGCCCGTGGGAGAACCTGCCAAGACAGCCGCAGGGGCCTGGGGCTCAGACAGCGCACGAGGGCAAGTGAGCTCAGGAGAACCAAGTCCACCCGCCTGGGCGCTCCCGTGAGGGGAGGGGAGGGGAGATGGGAGACAAACGGACACACATGTGCACAGAAACATGTCCGTTCACACAGTACACACACACACACGTGTAGGCATACGCACACAAGCCCCTGCGCACACACACAGGCATGTACACACACAGACACACATACCCGTAGGCACTCTCTCATTTGCAGGGTGGAGCTGGGTACCCTGAGGACGAGATGCTCGTGTCACGCTCCCGCTTTCTGGGCCGGAGCATCAATGCTGCGGGCAGACGGCCGTATGGTCAAAGCCCCCATCACCTTTCCACCGGCCAGGAGGCCCTGACGCTGACAGCCACTCAAGGCAGGTGCGTTTTTGTGTGCACTCATGGGACCGCAAAGTAGGAGAACGTGGTGTGACAGTGACGTCTGACCTTTAGATACCAGTGAACCAGTGAGATCAAAACCAAAACCGAGGGCGCCTGCGTGGCTCAGTGGGTTAAGCCTCTGCCTTTGGCTCAGGTCATGATCTCAGGGTCCTGGGATCGAGCCCCGCATCGGGCTCTCTGCTTGGCAGGGGGCCTACTTCCTCCTCTCTCTCTGCCTGCCTCTCTGCCTGCTTGTGATCTCTGTCAAATAAATAAAATCTTAAAAAAATGAAATAAAAGCAAAACCGAGAGGAGGAGGGGAGGGGAGAAGGCGGCGGCAAGAAAGAGGAAGAAACGTGGGGACAAAGGACTACGAGCTTCAACTCTGCCAAATAAAGGCATGAAAGACGGACCACACATGCACGCTCCCGAGCCAGCGCTTCGAAGAGGAAACTGCGTTAACCCTACGAGAGCGACAAGGACTGGCACCTACTCCGCACGCAAAGTGCTGTACCCCGCAGGTCCTTCCAGGCGGGGGCTGGTGGTGGCACAGGGACCGGGAAGGAAGAGGTTCTGCCCTCTCTCCTGAGGGGACAAAGATGGCCACAGACACCTCCTCCGGCAAGATCCTGGGCAGTTCCTTCTCTGACCTGACTGTCCTCAGACCCTCAGGACACTGCCAATGACTGCGCAGCACCAGCAGCAGCAAGCCCGGGCCCCAAATGCTCTGCAGCGGTGACTCCAGAAATCCGTGATCGCCAAGGAGCGGCAGGACGCGCTCCAAAGAGGAGGCCTACACCCGGGACTGAGTTCCACCGGAGCCCCACGGCAACGCTCCCACAGACGCGTGCCTCCGCAGACACACGTGCCCCCTGACACGCCCCCAGACACACACGCCCCCCCCACAACCCCACACACACGCCCCCCCACACACACGCCCTCTCAGACACACACATCTTCCCCACACACGCACCCCCACATACACATGCCGACACACACGTCCTCCCCACGTGCCCCCGACACACATGTCCCCCCTAGACACACATCCCCCCCACACAGCCCCCCTGACGCACATGTCCTCCCCACACACGCCCCCAACAGACACCCCCCAACACACGCCTTCCTAGACACACGTCCTCCCCACATGCCCCCCAGACACACATCCCCCCCAGACACACACACCTGCCCCCAGACACACACGTCCTCTCCACACACACAGGCCCCCCCGCAGACACACCCCCACAGACACACATGCCCCCCCGACACACATGTCCTCCCCACACATGTCCCCCACAGACACACAGTCCCCCCAGACACACACGCCCCCCACCCCCACATATACCCCCCAAAGACATGCAGGCCCACAGACATTTGCACCCCAAACACACCCCCCAGACACATGCTCCCCACAGCGCATGCCTTCTCATAGACACATGCCCCCCCCAAAGACATGCGGGCTCACACATACCTCCAGACACGCATGCCCCCAGACACACTCCCACAGACGTGCACACTCCTAGACACACACACCCCATAGACACGTACGCCCCCACTTCCCCCCGACACATGTGCCCCCCACACGCCCCCCTACACACACACACAACCCCCCTACACCTCCAGAGACACAGACCCACAGATACACACCCACAGACATCACCAATTAAAATTTCTCTGCAGGAATCTTCAGGGATAACAGAAGTCTGAAAATTTAGTATAGTCCTTAACCTGGGAAAGCACGTCGAAGAAATGATTCTAGGAAAATAATAACGAAAGTATGCAAAGACTGGGCTCAAAGGATGTTAACCAAATACAAAAGACTTGGAAATAACCTAAGTTTCCAGCCATGGGGAGTAGTTAATGGCCTACCCATGAAATGAGTTTAAAACTGCAGCAATGGGCAGACCGATGACAGGACTGAAACAGAGCAGCCGGGACCGGGACGCGCGCTGTGCACACAGAACGCTTCCCGGTGGCGGAGGAAGGGCGCCGCACAAGTCAGGAACGGATGGGCTAATGGTTTCATAAGGGGAAGGCTGAGAACTGGTTTCCTGCATTAAAACAACCCAACTCAATCACCTACTTCGCAACATTCACAGAAATGCATTCCAAAACAAACAAAACCTGAACTTGAAAACAAATATTCAGAATTATAAAGGGAGTTCTGAGTTCCGGCTGTGGCCAAGTATAGAAAAACAAGGTTAAAACTGAGCAAAATGGTCCAAACTCACAGCTTCAGAACTCTGGAAATGCAATGAAGCATACTGCTTAGGCATTATTTTTGAAAAAGTGCCCAATTTTGGGCTAGAACGGGAGGTGGGAATGTCCGCGGCCTTCACAGTGGGGGACGCATCCTGCTTGCTCATGGATGGAAGGAGGCAGGGGTGAGAGCCAGGGCCTTGGAAGGGGACGAACCTGATGAAACCAACAGAGGAGATGGACCACTCTGGCGGCCGTGGCTGTGGGCCAGCGGGAGTGGCCACTGCTGTTTAATAGGGTCCCCAGCAGGCACCTAACAGGTACTTCAGGACCCTGAAAACCAAATGACCACATAAGGGCTCCACCCTCCAAACACCCCTGCTTCTCCAGGAAACACTGTGCAGGTGTCGGGAGCTCCGAGAGATGCCCGGGTCAAGTGACAGCCGAGGGAGACTGGGGGCTGGCTGAACTCAGAAGGTGCCCCCAGCCACCAGAGACTGACTGACCGATAGGGAGAAGCCTTCTGGGTGAGTGTTTGAGACTAACCTCTTCCGAAATCACTGGCTGGCCGCTAAATAACACAGACACAGAAGTGACTCCCAAAAAGCCAGGCTAAAAGGTAAATATAAATTTAAAGATTTGAGTAGAGATACCAGAAGCTGCATGCTATGAGGGGAACAGACTCTGGCATTCAGATCCAGAAAACATACTAAAATAAAACAAAATACTGAGGAAAACAATTCAAAGTACAGAGTTGCTACAAGATATTATCTGAAATAAAAACTTAGGAGACATGCAAAAAGTGTGACTCACACTTAGGAAAAAAAGCAGCTCATTGAATCTGAGTGGGCCCAAATGTTGATCTTGCAAAGACCTCAAAGCAGAGAGTGTAAGTGCGTTCGAAAAACTAAATGAAAATATGATGGCAATGATTCACGAAATAGCACATCTTAAAACATACATAGAAAACGTATAAAAAAGGGGTGCCTGGGTGGCTCAGTGGCTTAAACCTCTGCCTTTAGCTCAGGTCATGATCTCAGGGTCCTGGGATCAAGCCCTGCATAGGGCTCCCTGCTCAGCGGGAAGCCTGCTTTCCCTTCTTTCTCTCTGCCTCCTTGTGATCTCTGTCAAATAAATATATAAAATCTAATAATAAAAAAGAAAGACAACTGGAAGGATAGATTAAAAAGAATAATAAAATTTTAGGCTACCTGTAAGAGGCTCATTTTGGGATCCAAAACCAACAATACGTTAAAAATTACTAATTTATGTCTTTCATAAAAGTGGTGTACCTGGGGGAAAAGAAAGTGTTGTACCCGAACTTAAAAAAAAAAAAAAAGATTATTTATTTATTTGACACAGAGAGATCACAAGCAGGCAGAGAGGCAGGCAGAGAGAGAGGGGGAAGCAGGCTCCCTGCTGAGCAGAGAGCCCGATGCGGGGCTTGATCCCAGGACCCTGAGACCATGACCTGAGCCGAAAGCAGAGGCTTAACCCACTGAGCCACCCAGGCGCCCCTACATGAACTTTTGAAAAGTGGGGGATGCCTGTATAGAAAATTAGAAAATCAACAGATTGAAAATTGTCAAATACAGTGAAATCCATGAGTCCATAAGGATATTAGAAATATTTTTCAAAGATAATTTATTACCTTATAAGGATGAAAGAGAACCAATTCATTATCTTGGAAATGAAGTAAAGAAAACAGAAAAATCCAGCATTTATCCTGAATTTTCTATATGAACTGTACCACTGGGTAGCCAAATCAGATGGGGAAAGCATCTCTTTATGGCCAGTAAAGGAAAATGAACAGAAAGACCTCTACTTTGCAGTTCTCGCTCAGTCAGAGCATTAGGCTCTGATCACCGAGGGCATCAACGGCTGCTACTGACAAGAGAAAAACTGAGACACTGAGCATGTCTTGAAGCAAAACAGCAGCATCTAGAGTCTTGCCAAAGAGGGTGAACCTGCCTGTGGTCAGCTCCCTTGACGCAGCTGCCAGCGTGCAGACGGTCGCGCCGGACTGCGCCAGCCGTCCTCCACGACGGGCCCGAGGGCCCAGGCTTTCAGCGAACTGTGAGGCCAGGGAAGGCTGGGAGAAGGCTGGGGACAGCCAGACCTAGACACAGCTGCTTAGCGAGCAAGACCGTGCCACGGGGCCCCTAGCACAGTTACAGCCGAGTGACGGGCTGGAACAAACACAAGGAGGCAGCGAGAAGAGAAGCCCGGAGTCCTGGTCGTCTGGGAGGAGGAAGCAGGCTGAGTTTGGCTTGAGGTGCAGGGCGGGGCTCTGGGGGGTGGTTGGCAGACTTGCCGTTGTGAGCTGAGCGGTGACTGTGGGGGGCTACAGTAATCCCCACACTAGGTACTTACTTCCCACATCTGGCCTGGTTCTGCAGCAAGGTGAGGTTAGCACCCACTGGGAGCTCACATGTGAGGTATGGCTCTAAAATTCTCTGTACATATTAACGCGTTCCATTCTCCCCACAACTACGAAAGACAATTCTCGTCTCTGTTTTACAAATAAGGAGACTGAAATACAGAAATTAAGTTCGAACAAATGTAGGAAAAGATGCTGGACCTCACTAGGAATCAAGAAAATACAAACTCAATCATGATGCCATTTTCCCAGCTTGTAGTAGGCAGGGATCTGCAAGTCAGATAACAGCACCGCAGGCAAGTGCAGAGAGGACCGGCGACTAAGACGTGCGCCTCACGCAGAATCGGACGCTGCGTGCTCTCTCCGCACAGGTGCTAGAGAAACTCCCGGCAGGTATGTAAGAAAACACATACTAAGATGTTCACGGCAAACTGTCTGTAATAAAAACTGGAAAACGGGGGCTTCTGGGTGGCTCAGTGGGTTAAGCCTCTGCCTTCGGCTCAGGTCATGATCCCAGGGTCCTGGGATCAAGTCCCGCATCGGGCTCCTTGCTCCTCAGGGAGCCTGCTTCTCCCTCTGCCTCTGCCTGCCTCTCTGCCTACTTGTGTGTACGTGCCCTTGCTCGCTCGCTCTCTCACACAGACAAATAAAATCTTAAAAAAAAAACCAAAAACCTGGGAAACATCAGAAGGGATAGAATAAATACAGCATACTCGCGAGGAAAAGAACACAGCGGCTGAAATGAACCAAAGAGCTCTGGAGACATCAACACAGATGTCACTCACACACGTGGTGGAAAAGCGGCGAAGGCAGCATCCCTCCCGCGCAACACCGCTTGTTTTAAAAGCAGCACAAATTCATACTCTCTGTACACGATCCCGTCTGTGAACAGCTAGTATCTGCTAGAAGGAAACACAACCCAGTTGGGAGCTGCCCCGGATGGGGAAGGGCTGTGACAAAGGGCTTGTGAGTCAAAAACATTTCAACATCATCTATTTTATTTTCAAAAAGGAAAGCAGGGGCATCTGGGTGGCTCAGCTGGCTGGGCGTCCAACTCAAGTTTCAGCTCAGGTCATGGTCTCAGGGTCGGGCTCTGAGCTCAGCGGGGAGTCTGCTTGAGACTGTCTCTCTCCCTTCCCTGCCACACCCCACCCCACACATGCACATTCTCTCTCCCTCTCACTAATAAATAAGTCGTTAAAAAAAAAAAAAGGCAAAGCAAATGCCAGAAAACGGCTCATCAGTCTGGCGATGGTGAGTGGGTATTGTAAGCTGCGTCAGTCACGTCCAATGCTAACAGAGCATGAAGCATGGGAAGGCACAGCACTTGGGGGCCATCTCAGAGCTGACCTGCCCCGTGAGAGCTGGCGTGCGCTTGCATGCCACCCCTCTGAGCCAGGCAACCTTAGGCATAGGAGGGCCCGGCTCGTGGGGCTGTGCAGAGATGCATTAACAGAGCCAAACCCCGGGAGCACTGCCTGGCCCAGAGAAGGCAGCACGGGGAAGTGTCAGGCAGGGGCATGGGGTACCCCAGAGGGACTAATGGTAGAAAGGACAAGGCACTTCCTGCTCTGTTCCTTGGCTGATGTGTTCACCAGCACAGGGAGGGGTCCGCTCTGAACTCATCGCGTATGTTTACGGTTCACGCACTTTCCTACGCGCATGTGCCACTTCAGTAAAAGTTACAAGGAAAGAAAGAAGCACGGAAAAATGGGTCAAACGACACTCTGGACCCAGCGACAGTCTATAAAGAAAGATGACAGCCAAAGAACTAGAGATAGTTCCCCTGGATTATTGACAAAAAAAGAAAATTATCTACCAGAAGTTCCGGTAAACGTTCCCTCCAAAGATGAAAAGGGAGCAAAACCGAAGTTATGCACTTAAGGGAAAAAAAGACATCCTTGCGGCACTGCAGAACTTCCATTTGAACAAAACGTCACGCTAAATTTGCTAGGGGCACGTCCGTAAGGAGTCATATACGAAAAAACCAGTAATTTCTAGAACCTGCTTTAAAATAGTCCAGGCAAAGGAAAGCAGGACGGAGAGCTGAACAGAGACTGGCAAGGGTCACTGCGGACCAGCGGGGCATCAGGGGGTGGACGGCCGGGGCACCGCGCTCTCCATCCCCGGCCAAGTCTGCGTACCCGGCTTACGGGCAGCGGCCATCCTTCCGCGCTCGCTCGAGAAGCCCAGCAAGCGTAAGACCGAGCACGGTGCTGTGGGAGCCCACGGGCCGGAGCTCGCTGACCACCCACGCCCCCAGACGCCCGCGGGCAGGTCCGCGCGCCCCACAGGGCCCGGGGGAGGCGGGTTACCTGCAGTGCTCCTGGAAGCGGCACTTTCCCTCCAGGAAGAAGGGGCAGGCCTTCAGCGACTTGTGCGTGGGGTAGAGGTAGAGCACGCGGACCGCCGCGGGGCCGTCGCCCGCCGCCTCGGCGCCCACGATCATGGCGTTGTGATATTCCAGCGTGCCCCAGGGGCTGTAGAACGGGGCGTTCACCTTCCTCCCGCTCCACTCCCCCTCGTCGTCGTCCTCGCCCTCGTCCTGCTCCTGCTCCTGCCCGCGCCCGCGGGCTTCCGGCTGCGCCTCCCGCTCTGGGCCGGTCTCCGGCTCCGCCCCGGGCGCCGCAGGCCCCTCCACGCCCTCCGCCACGGCCTTCTGGAAGGCCAGGTACTCGGCATCGTCCGGGGCCGCGCGCGGTCCGTCCAGGGCGGCCAGCAGCTTGCTCTTCCGCACGGACACCAGGCTGGCCTCGGTAAGCTCGATGAGCTCCTTCAGGTCCCCCTGCAGCCGGCGCAGGTCGGCCAGCTCGGCGGCGTCCAGGCCGGCCCCCAGCGCCAGCTCCACCTGCCGCAGCTGGCCGTCGTAGGTGCGCAGCGCGCTCTGCAAGCTCTCCTCGTCCATCCCGCAGGGACGCGGCGCGGGAGCCGGGGGCCTCCGCGCGGGGCCCGGAGCTGCAAGGAGGGCAGCCGCTGAGCCCCGGGCCCGCCGCCCTCGCCGCCCGGCCACCCCGCGGGGCCCACGGCCGCGCTCGGCGCCGCTCACCACGGCCCGCGCAGCCGACGGGGGCGCCTCCCGTCTCGCGGGCGAGAAGACGGGCGGGGGAGCTTCTCGGCGCCCGGCCCCCCGCCTCCCACCTCGGCCCGCGGCCCCGCCCCGCTCCGCGCCGACCGCGGCCTCCCCGCCCCCGGCTTCGGCCCCTCTCCGCTCGACCTGTCACCTCGGGCCCCGGCCCCGTCGCCCCAGATCCCGCCCCCGCGCGGGCTCCGGGCTGCCGCCATAGAGACCCCACCGGCCTCACCGGCTAGAGCGGCCGGCGCGCCAGCTTCCGCCCTCGCAGCCCACCGGCGCTTCCTCCCGAGCGCCGCCGCCGCCGGAAGTGCCGCGCGCGGGGAGCGCCGGGATGCGACGCGCGGGGAGCGCCGGGACGGTTCCGCCCTCCGCGGGCGCCAGCCTGCGTCCCGTCGGGCTGCGCGCGAGGTCAGCGCGCGGTCAGCGGAGGTCGGCGGGATCAGGAGCGCGGCGGCTCCGTGGCCCGGACGGGCGCGAGGTAGGCCGCGGGGCTAGTCGCCTCCTCCCGGACGGGTGGGGCCCGCAGGCGCGGCGGGGACTCGCAGACGGGGCTCCGCCGTGAGACTCGGTGTCCGGCTGGGCGTCGGCGGTCGGGCTAGGGGCCCAGGCCACCTCCCACCGCGGCCGGTCCGCGCCCCCTGCCGGGCGCCCGGCCTCTGGGCCGCCGCCCCTCCAGCCCCCCGCAGCCCGGCTTCTGAAAGCCGCCGGGGGTTCCCGCTGGGAGTCTGCGGGGCACCTGCTGGGGCCGGGGCGGGCGGGTGGGGGGCGGCCCGGTGGGGGCGCAGCCGAGCCCGGGGAAACCTGACGTCTGGGCCGGGACGGGGACCGGGACCTGTTCCGCCTCCGGGAAGCTGGGTCCGCGGGGAGGGGCGGGGGTGGAGTGGGAGCGACGGCCGGGAGCCGGGCGGGGGCGGCCCGGGGCGGGGGGGGGAGTTCCGGGCGCGGGGGGAGGAGATCAGGGGGCGTCCCGGGAGAGGAGTTTGGCGGCTGGGATGGGGGGCGAGTTCGGGGACGGGGATGGGGGTCACCGGGGGAGGAGCTCGGGGGCGGGGATGGGGGTCCCCGGGGTCAGCGCGAAGCCGGCCCGGCACCCGGCCCACGGCCCGTGTCTCCGCGCAGGGCAGGATGTACACGCTGCTGTCGGGCCTGTACAAGTACATGTTCCAGAAGGACGAGTACTGCATCCTGATCCTGGGCCTGGACAATGCCGGCAAGACGGTTGGTGCTTGATCGCGCCACCACTCCTCCGAGGGCCTTGGGGATCCGCACAGAATCCGAACCCCGCGGAAGGCCACGAGCCAGTGTCCCCACAAGTTGCTGTAGGGGAGACCCAGGGAGGGATGTTTGGAGGTTTGGCAACTAGATTTGGAAGGATCCAGCCCTTATCTATGTGGGTTTGACTCTCTTTTCAGACGTTCTTGGAACAGTCGAAAACCCGTTTTAACAAGAACTACAAGGGGATGAGTCTGTCCAAAATCACGACCACCGTGGGTCTGAACAGTAAGGGGGTCCCTTAGGGTGTGGGTTGTGGGGCCGATCCCTGAGGCTGATGGTCAGCAGTTCCCACGGGCCCCACGGTCGGGGAGCCCCGGAGTGGCTCCTCCCTCTTCTGGGGCCTGGAGGTGACACACTGGAGACCAGGGCCCCGGCCTCAGCGTCCTCCTCTCTCCCCAGTCGGCACTGTGGACGTGGCAAAGGCGCGCCTCATGTTTTGGGACTTAGGGGGCCAGGAAGAGCTGCAGTCTCTGTGGGACAAGGTAAGACACTCACCACACAGCGTCCCCAGCCACGTGCTGCCTGTCCCTTGGGGCATTTTTCTCCAGGTGACACCCCCTCCATCGCTCCTCCTGTTCCTGGGAAGGCCACAGAGGCCCCTTGTTTCTTCCCCATGAGCAGCTTTGTCGCCCGCTTTGTTCTTGAGGCTGCCCCCCGGTTCGGTTTCAGCTCCCGTGTCCTTCCCCTAAGAGCGAGGACACGCTGGGTCCCTTTGGACCTAGAGATTTTGCTGGCAGTCACCCGGGGACAAGACACACAGCGGCTGAGGAGCGGATGTGGGGAAGGAGCCGTGCCTGCAGGGCGCTTAGCGTCACCACCGGGGCCGAGTGTCCTTTGCTGGGCTCCTCCTCTCTCTTCTGCCTTAGGACCTGTCCTCTGTGGCGGCCTCTGCCCCATCAGGAGAGGGTGTCCTCGGAGGCCCATAGCCGCTGCCTCCCCCCCTGACGTAGTTTTGGGGCATTTCTGGGACCCCCCCAGTGTGATGCTTTTCTCCCACACGCTGTGGTCACGTCAGCTCGGCCGGTGCTGGGCCCTGTGATCCGGCTGTGCGCTGGACGGACGTAGCCCCTGCCTTGGGCAGCCCCATCCTGGTGGATTGGCGCACCCAGCACCGGGGGCACAGGTGTGCCTGCCCCACGCTGGCGGGACTGGTGCACGCGTCCCGGTGCAGGGGTGCAGGCGGGCTCACCCGGCACTTAGTGGTTGTCAGTGTGCGTAGAGCTGAGCGCCCAGGTCCTCGGTCTTGCTGTGACTGTGGCAGCTGGGACCCCGTCACCTCCTCCCAGTCTTCTCTGAAGTGACGTCTTCTGCTCGGGCTTCCTCTGGTGGCGAGAAGGCCCCCAGCAGACTCTCTGGCCATTTAAGCTGGACCGAGGCAGAGCGAGGCTGGGGCCTGCTCCTCTGAACTGAGAAAGACTCGTTGTGGGGAGCGGAATGGGACCTGACGCTCTGTCCCAGACCGGGGTCTCCGGAGCAGATGCTGAGAATGGAGTGGGGGGTGTGGGGGGCGTGCTGAGGAGCAGCTCCTGGGAGCGGAGCTGGGAGAACGTGGACGGGCCAGGGCAAGGGTCAGCTCAGGTGGCTCCTAGCGGGGAGCCCTGGGGAGCACGGCTCCTCCCAGCTGCATCCCATTAGGCCAGGCTGAGCAGGACTCCTGCCACCTGGTGGGGCACCACGGTGGGCTGCCCTGGGCAGCTGTGATTTGGGGAGGGGGCTCTTGGTTCAAGTAGGTTCTGCAGGAGGCAACAGGTTCGTGCCCTGGGCGCACTGCCCGCCGCTTGCACCCACAGCTGTGACCCGGCCCTGGCTCCTCCCGGGCTGCTTCCTCAGGCCAGGCTGGAAGAGGGAGACGAGCCTTGCCGATGGCGGCATCCCCCTCCCTGGCTGCTGCCGCTGCCGGTGGCTCCCAAGAGGCCCCTTCTCTGCTTGACTTCTGGGTTCCTCGGGAGCTTCCCGGCCCCTGTGGAGCGTGGAGCGGGCGCCCTGCCTCCCCTGCCAGGCCAGGGTCTCTGCTGGCCCCTGAACCCACGGTGCCTAGTGTGTCCCACAGGCAGCCAGGGTTTGTGTCCCCGCAGGTCTCTCGCTAAACCTTCAGTGAAGGGGTGCCTTGGTGGTGACCATGCCCCCAGCCTTTCAGGGCCCAGAGCTGTGAGGAGGAGCAGCAGAGCCCCCTGTGGGTCACCAGGTTGGATGGGAAATAGAACTCGTGCTGCATCAGGATTCCCAGATGCTGCGGGCTGGGCCCTGGTCCCCCTGCACAGTCTGGCGCCAGGACGCTGGTTGGGCTCGTCGTTTCGTCCCAGGCAGACGACTGGCCAACCTTCCTCTGCCCACTGCCTCCGGGCAGGCTGTGTGCTGCTGCGCGTGGGTCTGTCCACGTACCAGCCTCGGGCCACACCTCCCCACACAGATGAGACAGGGGGACTGCCGTGCTGCCACAGGGAGCACTTCTGGCCTCTGTTCCTCCAGGCCACGTCTGAAAGATCAGCATGTGGCCACGGGTGAGGGTGCCCTCAGGGTGTCTTGGGGTCGAGGCAGCTTGCTGTGCTCTTGGTCCTGCCCAGGCTCAGCCCCGGATGTCCAGCTCCGGTTGCTCTGACGGGTGCCAGGCCGTCATGTGATGCCCGTCTGCCTGGCCGGGATGCGCTGCAGGGCTTGTGAGGTGATCCTTGCCCCAGCCTTGCTGCTGGCTTCGTGCAGTGGCCCTTCCCACCCGGACACCTCTGCTGTCGGGTCGGCCAGCCCCCCATCGCCCCACCGCTTGCTGCCCAGAGCCCCTGCAGGCCCCCGCCACTGGGCACAAGTCACCGTGTGTGTGACTTGGGGCCTGCAGATCCTGGGTGGCCGCCTGTGCCGGGCGGCAAGCGCAGGTGGGAAAGCCTGTCTCACGTCGGCAGGCCCCGGTTACACCCTGAGAACTTCCCCGAGTTCTGGGCTTGGTGCGCCATTGCGTTGTGTGCGACGTGTGGGTGCCTCCGGCTTCCGGGCGCTCGTGACCGCGGGGCAGCGGTGCTGCTGTTGCTGTGAAGTGCCTGCTTCCGGTTTTCTTTCTGATTGGGGCAGGTGCTGGGCTCACCATGGGCACAGCTGTGCCCCCGTGTCCCACACTCCATACCCCTCACATGCCCCACTTGGTGCATCTCTCCGGTTTTGTCTGCACAGAACTCTTCCCCAGGCCTTGGGCTCTGGTCCCGCTGCTCTGTGCGTGCCCGGGACTGACCGCTGTCCTGGCCCCAGTGCAGCAGGCAGAGCTCCGTGTTGCTGGCCCTGTCCTTAGCCCTGCTTCTCCCCTTGGTGGCCTTTCTGTAGCTCATTGGTGGTATGGCCACCAGGCTTGTTGTCCACACTGGCACGTGACCTGGCTAGTGCCCTCCCCCTGCTTCCAGACCTGTGTGGGGACCAGCTTGGTTTGGGCTCCAGCTCTCAAGTTCTGTCCTCCTCCTCCAGCCACCGTCAGGCCAGCAGTCATGGGTGCTTTTCAGAAGCAGATGCTGAAGTGGAGTTTGGGGGCACGGCACCCGGGAAGTGGACAGAGGGTTTTGGCCACCCCCTGCCCAAGGTCAGCAGGCCCACACTGAAGGAGTCTAGGGCTGTGTCGCCACTCTGTCCTACCTTTCCACTCCCTGGAAGCTCCCCAGAAGGGCCTTCGAGTGCTGGGGGTGGCCCAGTACCCCCTTTCTTCCCCTCCTCAGTACTATGCGGAGTGTCACGGTGTCATCTATGTCATCGATTCCACGGATGAGGAGAGGCTGTCTGAGTCCAAGCGAGCGTTTGGTGGGTACAACCTGGCTAGGGCTGGAAGGGGGGCGGGGAGCAGGCAGGGCCATTTGGCCCATCGCGTGTGTCTGGAGCTGGCCTTGGCCGGAGGTTGGGTCCACACCAGGCAGGCGGGGCCGTGGCCAGGAGTGAAAGCAGGCACTTGCGGAGAGGTGGGCAGGCCTCTCCATGTGGGTGCTCACCGCCACCTTCCCGCCTAACCTCAGAGAAGATGGTCACAAGTGAGGCACTGGACGGCGTCCCTATACTGGTGCTGGCCAACAAGCAGGACGTTGAGGTGAGCCTCTCATCCCAGCATCCCCACAGTGTGGTCCCCAGAGTCAGTGGGCCCCATCACTGGGGGTTGGGGGACAGGGTGCCTGCCCTGGACACCCCAAGCCACACGTGTCCCGGGTGAGCAGAGCCCTCCCAAGGTGCACGGGGCCTTCTCTCTGCAGGAGGGTGAGCGTGGCCTATCCGTCTGCCCTGGCCTGGCTGCCGGCGCGGTGGGGACATCCTGTCCGGGACGGGATCCCATCCTGACTCCCAGGGTGGGAGTCAGCTCTGACTTTGGCTTGTCTGCAGGACAGCGGCTGCTTTGGGGCCGTCTGGGTGGGGGGCGGGTGCTCTGCGGGGCCTGTTTCTGTAGCTCCTGTGCCTTCAGGTCGGGGGCACTGGAGGTCACTTACATCTGCCCCTCGTGTCCTGTGGACCGCCCGTGCCACCTGCTCCTTCCTCTCTCCCAGGCCACTTGTTGCAGGAGCCCTCTAGGCAGAGAAGCCCTGAGCCCAGCCCCTTGCCACTAAGACCAGTCCTGCCCCTGGGCCAGGGCGTTCCCTGCCTGCCCGGGACCCCACCCCTCACTGCTTCCCCTTCTCCCAGACTTGCCTCTCTATCCCCGACATCAAGACTGCGTTCAGCGACTGCAGCTCCAAGATCGGCAGGCGCGACTGCCTGACCCAGGCCTGCTCGGCTCTCACAGGGTGAGTGGGGGGCCCTCGCACCGGGGGCTGTGGGCCCTGAGCGGCCCCCCCCTCATGCCTGCTGTCTCCACAGCAAAGGGGTGCGTGAGGGCATCGAGTGGATGGTGAAGTGCGTCGTGCGGAATGTGCACCGGCCGCCGCGGCAGAGGGACATCACGTAGGTGTGGCTGTTGGCCACCGGTGCCCACGACTCCTCCCTGAGTGCCCGCAGAGCGCTCCTGCGGGCTCCCCGCCGCCCGTCTTGGGGGTCGGGTTTGCTTTGCTTTCAGTTCTTCATTTGCTTTGTTTTCTCTTTAAGACAAACTTTTCCCTGTGTCCGTGCAAGTGTAGGTATCCGGAGGCTTTTGCCGAGGGATCAGGGCAGCAGGACCCCCACATGACCCCTGCCGGGACTGTGTGCCCCAGCAGCCCCACCTGCTTTTCCCAGGGGTCCAGTCTGGAAACGGGCTTTCTCGGAGCTGCTCTGTGTAGCCGCCCCCACAGAGGAGGCTGTTGGGGTCATGACTGTCCTCGGCCTCCGTCCCCTCTGGCCCTGGAGATGGGTTGGGAGCTGGTGTCCTTTTGAGGGAGGGAAACCTGGCCCACTGTGCTAGAGGCCAGCAGAGCCCTGGGTTCTGGGCCCTCAGAACAAGGCACAGGACATCACCTCTTTTGGATCCCCAGCAGGAGGGGAAGGAGTGACTGTCCCCTGTGTGTGTGTGTCTGTCACCAATCTGGGACAGCTAGTTGCCAGTGTGGGGGGTGGAGGAGGGCACAGTGGGGGTGTCGGGAAGGTGGGCTGGGTTCCCATGGAGCCCAGGTTGGTGCTGTGCTGGGCCTTCATTCCCAGCTGGGGTGAGGGGCAGGGTTCCCATTCCGTCTGGGGACAAGCGGTCTCGAAACCCACTTGCAAGCGTGTGCCCGGTAGCCAGGTCTCTGGGTGCGACGGGTCCTCGGGCTGCTGCCTGCGTGGCCCCTGCCAGAGCGGTCCGTTGCTGCTGGCTGGACTGTGTCCAGGAGGATGGCGGTCTGAGTTGTGCTGTCCATTGCCCCTCCAGGAACCCAACCCTGGCCAGGGACTCCCGGCTGGCTGGGCACAGTGACCACAGCACCAGGTTCCCCAGGCTGGAGCTCTGACCAACCTGGGCACTGCCTGCCTGCTTCTATGGGAACGGCTGAGCCAGAGCCGGGGACCTGGTGGCTTCCTGTTGAGGTCTGGTCCCTGGCGGGGACCCTGGGAATGGTTGCTGAGAAAGGCTGAGTCAGGGCTGGGGGTGGGGGGGCGTAGGTGAGGTGACTCGGGCTGGGGGGGCGGGGTGGGGGGCAGGCACAGGGCTCCAGGGCCCATGGGACAGGCTGGGAGTTGCCCAGGTTGCCCCTGGTGCAGTCCAGCCCTTCTCTGAGCCTGCCTGAGGGGAAAAGCCCTGTTTCCCAGAAAAGGTGGTGGGTCGCACCCAGCCTGGAGGAGGTCCTTGGCTGGTTCCCTCCTGGGAAATCCCCTGCGTCCTGGGACTGGATGGAGTTGAAGTGGAGGGGTGGGGCGGGTGTCCTAGTGGCCCAGGGCATGGGCTTCTGCTGCCTGGGCCAAGCTGGGTCCTATTCACTGCAAGAGCCCTATACTGGGTGTGCCCTCCCTCCGTACTGTCGCAGACAAGCAGGACCTAGGGGGCCATGGAACGAGCCTTGGAGTCGCCACGGTGCCCACAGCTGGAAGGGACACGCTGGGCTACCTGCTGGCCGTCTCTAACGCTCCCTCCCGCCAAGGGTCTGTTCATTTGGGGTGATCAGCAGCCAGAGGAAGTGCGTGGAGCTTGAGAGTGCTGGGGGGGTTGGCGTCCCCACCAGGCGTGCCCGCTGCACACCGTGGACACACACAGGCTCACACGACGTTGTACAAGCAGCTTCATAAAAATAAACCTTGTTAGTGCAGCAGGAGCCTAGAAGCTCGGCGGAGAGTACTGTGGTGCCTGCTGTGGGGGTGATGCCACACGGCCCCAAAGCTTGGGAGGAGAATAAATAGGGGCAGGGGGCTCAGTGCGCCCAGAAGCGCGTACGGACACTGCGCTCCAGTCCAGGCAGCCTGGCCTCGCGCAGCGCCCGCAGCAGCCGCGCCCCCAGCGCCCCAGGCCGCGCATCCCGGAGCTCCGTGAGCTGCCGCCACAGCCTCCGCTGCAGCTCCGCACGGCCCTCCCTCGGGGCCGCGGGACCCCGGGCCTCTGGGCCCACCAGCGCCTGCCACAGGCGCACGAGCCTCTTGGAGGACAGGTCCTGGAAAGCCACGAAGTCGATGACCGCGCGCTCACACTCTCCAGCTCCTGCGGGGGAGTGGGACACAGCCGTGAGGGGACACGTGCCCGGGGGACACCCAGCAAGGGAAGTCCCTGCCCATGAGTGGGGCCCGGGGGCCCCGGGGTGGGGGGTTGAGCTGCCACAGCACTGCTGTGACCTTGGGAAAGCGGTTTACTCCCTGGGACTCCGTTCCCTCCAGGGTGGGGGAGGGGATCACCAACCCCCCACCCTGTTTCCCTGCCGCCCCCCCCCCCCCCCCCCCCCACCTGGCCCCCCGGGTGCCATGGTGCTAAGCGTGAAGGCCGTGCAGCTGGTGCACAGGGCATCATGGGAGGAGGAGCCTGCCACGTTGAGGACCAGGCCCAGGGCGGTGCAGTTGCGGTGGGGCTGGCACGGCTCTGAGTGGGAGCTGCTGGCCGAGAAGGTGCCGGGGGGACACGGCTGGCACTGCGTGTTTTGGCTGGGGGTTCCTGGGGACGAGAGGAGGAAGGGGTCAGGGGAAACCGGGCTGCTGTCCTCAGTGGCAGCAAACGTTCTGGGCCGCCACCACCCCGTCCAGTCCTGCTGCCCACCGGGGACTGCCACGCCGGTGCCAGGCGGGCAAGGCGCGTGCTCCAGGCAGAAGCCGGCGTGTGCGAAGAATCCGGGACGGCAGCGGCAGGCACGGTTGTGAGTGGCCTGGCAGGGCCGCGCCTCCTCCTCACGCTCCCCACAAATGACGTTGCAGTAGCGGCAGCGCCCCAGGTAGTTCCAGAACTGGGTGTAGTGACGTGGAGGGCACGCGCCGCACATCGTGGGGCTGTCCCGGCGGCACGGCTGCTGCACGAAGGTGCCTGGGGGGCACTGGCTGCACACGAGCCACTCCCGAGTGTCCACGTCCCGCCACGGGTAGGTGAGCTCACCCGCTGCGTGTGCGGCCAGAGCCAGCAGCAGGGTGGGCAGTGCCCACGGCAGGGTCAGGGGCGGCGGGCCCCACCTCTCCAGCGTCCCCATGGCCCTCCCTGGGGCAGCAGCTCAGCCTCCCGCAGCGCCAAGCGGTGGGGACACTGGGACAGCGTGCCCAGGCACCGGCAGCCCCCCCAGCCGCTGCCACCCCACACTCAAGACTGTGCAGTGGTGGCCTATATAGACTGGCCTTGTCACGCCCTTGGGGGAGGGCTCATCACCTCCAAGGGGCCTGCCGTGTCCTGGTTCTCAGCCACGTCACCACCCCCACGGCCCCTCCCTCCCCAGAAAGCCCCCTTTCATCCTCGGCTGGCGCCAGCCTGCTTCAGAACAAAGTCCAGGACCGGGCCTGGGAGGGCACTCCCCACACCGGATCCGCCGGGGAGCCCCAGGCTCTGCTCCCCTCCGGTGTCCTGCATCTGCCCAGCCGGCGGTCCCTCAGCGTGCCCATGCGCCGACAAGGTGGGAGGGGGACCCCACGCAGATGCTCACATCTTCCTTCCCAGCACCCTCAGGCCCCTCGCCAAACCCTGATACAGTGTCAGTGACTTTATTAGGCAGCCGGTCATCTGATCAAAAGCAGGTCCGCTGCCCACACACTGGGCCTGCAGAGGAGGCGGGGGCACACAGCCCCCCAGCTTCCTGTCCTGGGCTCGGGACGCTCCACCCACCAGCCCACTGGCCCGGGAGGTGAGCCAACCCGCCCCAGACCCTGGGGGGCTTCAGGGCATCTAGGTGAGCGCAGACCCGGTGGAGAGGCCCATGTCCACAGCGTTGTCCGCCGGCCCCGGGGTCTCCACACTCACTGGGGCTCTGGCCAGAAGACCTGCGTGATGCTCTGCTTCCGGGCGGGGGCGTGACAGGCCGGGCATGTTCTAGAAGCCTGTGGAGACACAGGAGTGCTGCCCAGACGCCGCTGCCCAGCTCGCCCCCCCACACCCCGGGAGACCAGGTTGGGGACAGCTGTCGGAGGTCTGCAGGGCCCCACTGCCAACCTGGAGGAGCTGACGCCAGCAGGCCTGGCAGCGGCAGAAGTCGCAGGAGGGGCACTGGAAGGGGACCGTGTCCTCCGCCCCGCAGCCAGGGCAGGCCAAGCCTGCGGCAAGGGGGCCCCGTGAGCTCGTGTGGCTTGTCCGCCCCACCCCCACCCCCACCCCCGCAGCCAGCATCCCTGGCGGCGCCCCCTGAGACCTACCCCACTCAGACGGGGCGTGCCTGGGGGGGGCGCTGGGGGGCTGGCTGGGCGTGAGGAAGGCGGAAATCTTGCTCTGGGTCGTCCCACGCTTCTCGCACTGAGGGGCGCCTGGGGACAGACGAGCCAGTCTGACGGGCTTCTCTGCAGTTCCGCCTGCCGGGCTGAGCGGGGCTGGGGGACGCTTGGTTACCTGGCTTGGAAGCGCTGTGGGCGAGGTTGGGAGGCACGCTGGGGCTCCCCTCCTGGGGGCCTGGCACCCCAGTACCTGTGCTCGGGGCAGCCAGGCCCATCAGGTCTGCGCACGTCTGCCGGAAACGGTGCTTGTGGTGGGGTCTCAGGAACATGCCAAACCCTGCAGGGGTGGGGGGCTTCGGGATCAGCCCCACCCCCACCCCCTCCCCCACCTCCTCCCGCCAAGCTCCCTCTGCGGCCACTTGCTCTGCAACAGGGGCAAGTCCTCAGGCCTGGACGTTGTGAGTGCGGCCACCACAGCCACCACCTTCTCGAAGTCACTGTCCTGTTTGTACGTGGTCAGTGCCGCCAGGAGCTGGCTGCAGCCTGCGGACCCCAGGGCCTTCCGGACATCTGCCAAGTAGGCGCTCACAGCAGGCTGGCCTTGCTTCTCTGCCCCGGGGGCTCTAGGCTCCTCCTTTGGACGGCTGCTGGGGTCTCCTGGGGAGGAGGTAACAGGTCTTAGACCACGCCAGGGGTCTGGGGGCGCAGAGAGCTCCACGGGCATTCTGGGAACTGCGGCAGAACCAGTATGCCCCCCACGAGGGTCTTCAGTTCTGTTTCTGGTTCAGGGACTGGTACCTGTGGGGGCTGGTCTGGGGACCAGGTGGGGCCTGCCTTGGTTCAGGTGCTGTCCAGGGTCCAGCTGTCCTGCTGCACCCTGAGCCAGGGTCAGCTTGGAGTCACACTCCTTCCCTCCTGAAGGCACACAGACACACAAGGAGCTATCCAGCTGGTCCCCGAGGGTCTGGAGTGCTCCCCCGGGAGAAGGCAGGTCTGTCCAAGGGGAAGACCGAGACCCACAATTGTCCTCAGACCACAGAAGCGGGACCCAGACCAGAGCCAACTGCTGGTAGGGAGCCGGCAGAGACACACCCCAGTGGACACCGAGCCCAGAAAGGAGACCAGTGACTCCCAGACTGGACAGTCCCCTCCTGGGGGCAAAGGGGTCTAAGCCAGGTCCCCATGACACCTGCCCTTGAGAAAGTCCCGGCTCAGGATTCAGCCATTGAATGGTGACAGGAGCTCCCAGGCTCTAGAGGGGCCGTCCCAGCGTGCTTGTGAAGCTCGCGAAGGGCTGGGCCTGGGCTGCACGTACTGGGGCGGGGGGCGGGGGAGACCATCGAGCAGTTGCCCGCCCTGCTCTCGGGGGATGGGTCTGAGGGCCCGGCTCACCGCTGGGGGTCTGCACCGCCGGGGCCCACGGCCTCTGAGGAAGGCTGAGCTCAGGCCGGGAGCTACAGCCGTGGCCTGTCCGCTGGAGGCACAGCTCCTCAAATCGCTGCTTGTGGTGCGGCCGCACAAACTGGTAGAAGCCTGTGGGGAGGGGCGTCTGGGCCTGCGGGCTCCACCGTGCTGAGTGGGGGGGTCTGGGATCGTGGGCCACTCGGCCCCACCTTCTCTAGAGAGCAGGGACCACCGCAGACCCTGCCGCCCCCCCAAAGCTGTGGTGCTGCCCCCAGGGCACCTTGGAGTAGGCTGTGCTTCTTGGGGTCCTCAGCAAGGAGCGGGCTGAGGCAGCCCAGCAAGGCCTCCAGGTCGTCGGAGCCCTTGTAGTCCCGCAGGGCCCTGGTGAAGGTGTGGAAGCCGGCCGGGCTCAGTGCCTGCTTCACGGCCACCATGAACAGCTTGGCTCTGCCTGTCTGCGCACCGGCGGCCGGGCCCTCCTGCGGACACAGGACAGACGGCCCATCAGGCGGGGCTGTGGTGCTTCCCGAGGGGCCGCCGCTAGTGCAGAGTGACTGCTGAGAAGGGTGCCCCAGTTCCGGGGCCCAGCTGGGAGGCCAGGGATTGGGCGGCTTCGGTTGAACACAGCCACGCCCCTCAGGGAGCAGTAGAGGTCACGTGTGGACCTGCCCCCGAAGGCCAAGCCCCCCTGCGCCTACGTGGCAGACAGCCCCGGCTCGGGGTCAGTCAGCTCACAGAAAGGGGTACTTGGGGACTACGGGGGCTTCATACCTCCCTGAGCCTCCTCTGTGCCCTGACGTGGGACCCTCAGCAAGGAAGCCCGGAAAACAGGAAGGAGGGGTCCAGGCCCGATGCCAAGGCTCCTGGCACCCTGCCCACTTCCCGACAGCAGTGCCCCTCCCGGCCCTGCCCAGTTCTTCCCAGAAGCCAAGCAACATGGACAAAGCAAGTGCCCCATGGGGCTTTCCAGAGCTTTCCCGGCTCGGACTAACTCACTGGCCCTGCCGTGCTTTCCTCGGAGGCTGGCCGGGAAGCAGACCCTCCCCACGGCGGGGCATGTCAGCAGCCACACGTGAGCGCTGATGGGGGGGGCTGGCCCGGCTGCCGGCCCCACGCCACACCTGCCTAAGGGCCAGGGCCTGACCTCTGTGCCGGACGCAGGCGTGCCACCCAAAAAGCACTCTCCCGGAAAAGCAACACCAAATGCGAGGCCTGAAGCTGAGCACAAGCGTGTGGGCCTCAAAAGCATGGGGAGCCCCCACAGCTCGGGGACACGCCGTGGCGCCCGGCAACGTGAAGGAGGTCAGACAGGGCAGTGCTACTCGGCTGGGCACAGGCTGCTGCTGAGAGCTCCACGGGGCTCTGAAGTGCTCCCCAGACAAACCGAGTGAGAGACAGACTTGGAGCCTGGGCGGCGGGGCCCTGGCACGGAGCCGCCCAGATGCCGGGAGCAGCAGGAGACCACGCAGCCGGAGCCCAGGGGGCGGAAGGAGGTCCTGGGAGCCGCAGGGACAGGCTCAGCGGGAAGAGAGGAGGATGACAAGAGGCTCGTTTGCACGTTCCAGCCAGAGGCGGGGGCAGTGCGGGCCTTGGGGAGCCAAGGGCACGGGGCCTCACTGTGCCCCGGGAAGGTAGCAAGGAGGCCCCCTGCCACACGCTCCAGGGCCAGTGTGGGCAGCCAGGCAGCCTGTGGCTCCGGCCCCCCACCCCGTCCCACATGCGTGCCACTGGCTCCCGTACCTGGCGGCCACCGACCACCCTGATCTTCCTCCTTCCTGCTCTCTGTTCCTGCGCAGGCCTCTTGGTGCAGGGGACGCACACAGCGGAGAGGTCTTGTGCCTGAGGGTGACACACTGTGGTCCCGGCCACGCCCTCCGAGCCCCCAGAGCCCCCCCAGGACACTGCAGGGGCCCACAGCTGGGGAGAAGGGCCCTCTCCTGAGTCAGCACCACTAGCCCCTCTTTGCAGGTCGCAGGCTCAGGCGCCAGCTGTTACCAGGGACTGGAGGGCGTGGAGGGCAAGGGGGGAGGGCTTCACCTCCTGCTGAGGCTGGGCTCACCCAGGGCCCAGGAGACAGGGAGGGGCAGGGAGCTTCAGCAGCTGTGGGCTGAGCAGCTGTGTCCCCTGACGGCTCAGGGTCCCAGAAAGGGCGGGCCCCTGGTGCGGCAGGAGCCGGACAGCGACCGGCCCACGTCAAGTCCCGAAGAGCCCACAGGGCCGCATAGGGGGAGCCCCAGCTGACAGCCGGGAGCAGGGCAGGTGCGCAGCGTGGCCAGGAGGTGGCAGAGTTGGGGGGGTGTGCCTGTCTCTGGAGCCCCCGCACCTCCTCTTCCCCAGGGGGGGCCTCGTCCGCAGGTCCCCCGGCCAGCTGCTCGCTGCGCTCTAGGGCGGCCAGCAGTCCCACAGGCCTCGGCTGCGCGAGGCCCTGCGCCCGCTCGTACTCCACACACAGGCTGCCCTCGGTGTCCCCCGCGGCTGGCGATCCTGCGCAGGCACGGGCATCAGCAGGAGAGCCGGTGGCAGGGGGCGTGGTTCAAGTCCGGTCCCCCCCGCCGCCAGCAACACTCGGGCTCAGCCAGGCACTCTGGTCATGGGGCCACAAGTGCCACCAGCTGGCTGGAGTGCCACCAGCCCCAGGCCCCCACCCTCCAGGGCCCCCCACCTGCCATGTCACCCAGGCACACACACCTGTGGGTCTCTGCCTCAGGCTGGGGACATGCACGTCCAGACTCTTGGCTTTCCTGGTGGAGAGGGGGCCAGGCGACACGGCCACTGAGACAGCACCTTGTCCCTCATCCAGACTCGGGGCAGCAAGCAGTGGAGCTGGCACAGGCATC